ATACGTAATATAAGGATATGTTATCGTCGTCTGTATTGCCACCTCAGTTATTAATCAATTACGGATGGCAAGCTCGTGTGGTACTTGAATTTATCGTAGCGATTGTTTTAGTCCTGGTTATTGTTTGAATACATCCGTGCCTTTAGGTGCTTATGATCCTGTTCGAGGGTATCTTAATACTTATTTTAAGGGATTGATGGGGCGTTGCATTAGTCCGCGTAATACGGATCCTGAGAGTTATCGTAAGGCCGTTGAAATTCTTACCAAGTATCATCGGGATAAGAAGCGTTTACCACAGGAAAAGGCAGACTTGTTGACGAACTATAATGATGATGAAACGGATGGTTATTGTCCATTACAAGGAAATACCTATGCGGTTCATAAAATAGATGCTGGATTGAGTTTAGATGGTAATGAGGAAGCTAGTGATGATGATGATGGATTATCCTCAGCAGATGCTAATAAAGGATGGAATTGGGGTAGGGATGGTGGTAGTGGTGTTGGTATAGTAGACAAGCCAGATGATGATGGGTTTAAGGAGAAGAAGAAGAAGTGAGGAGGTGTTTTTGAAGGGTTAAAAGACATTTATCGTAAATTTATAGACGAATTTGAAAAAATACGGTCTCGTTACAATGAAGTTGTCGAAAAGTGAATGGCGTTTTTAAAGAATATCAACAGCAGTATCTAATCGATATTGAAAATATTTTAGGTGCGATTAAAATCCATGAAGGCGAAACCCAATTATTGGATGCTAATTGTATGATGAGTACAAAGCTGACGAATTAAAATTGATTGGAGATGTCCGGAAACAAATTCGGGAAGATGTTGCTGAACGGAAATTGATGGTATATGCATCGGATAATCACCACAACAAGAAAACAGATGGGTGGAAGCTGATACTTGTTGTGGATAGGATTGGGGCCGAGAACCCACCCGTTTCGTTAATTGCGTGGATGTTTGGTTCGAATTTGAAGCATAAAATAATCGATATTATATATGAGTCTGGGATGTCTGATAAAACTCGTGAATTAGATCTTTGTCAGCCTTATTGTGGTAAGTGAAATTCATGATGAAATAAAATCATTCCCATTCTCTCGAAACACCTCACCCTAACCCTGGCCCTAGCCGGTTAAATCCCCCCAGCACCCTCACGCTTGAAGGCATTGCCCGCTCCACACCCTTAGAACCCTTTGAATTTATTAATCTCTTCAGATAGCAAACCCCCCAACATCAGGATTTGAAATGCTGGAGAATTAGAGCCTGAATTCCATATTCCATACGTCTTGAATTTTAAAAATCTCCACCCATACACCGTAGGATAATTTTAAATTAAAAGATGAGCAGTTTCACTGAACAAACATCCACATTACCCCCTACCCCACCTGCTCACTATACACACACGTCAGGCATAATCACACCCTACTAGTCGTTAAAAAATGCTCTTGACAGAGAGGTTTGCTTGTTAGGAAATACCAAAAGCCTCGAATTGTCTCGGCCATTGGAACAAAGCACTTCCGACTTGTGAAGCGGTAGGTTTTAATTACTCGCATCGCTGCCTCAAGATCGTCTCAACGCACAAAAGCAGCTGTTTCGTTCCTGGACAGACCCTTGATAGCAGTCCAGTAGTATGAGAGCAGCTGGCTTTGGGTTGGCAGGCTGACGGGATTCTGCTAAAAGATCGCATTCCACACCGCGAAAGTTGCCACATTGTATGAGGTCTTCGTGACCACATTCCTTTAATTTAATTGGGTGTTCTGATCACAAAAAAATCTGAGATTACGGAGTTTTCAGCCGCTTTGGTGAGTTGTTTTTTCTAAACATAATGTAAAAACCTTTATCATGAGGCACTGCAAGTGATCGATTCACCACGTTTGCCGATCCACTTCCTCGGTGCCGTACGGGTGAGGGGTCCCCGCGTTCCTCGCGATTGAGTCCATCGTGAAGTGATGGATTGTTTCTGGGGCTCACCTCAAAAGCAAAAGACCGCTTGACCTGATGGCAACAGTCGCTTGTTGGCTTCCTTTCAGATGGCTTTGTGGCTTCTCACGTAAGTCAACCTATTCGGTGTAGCGGTATGTCAGCGTTAGGACTAGCTTGAGACAGTGTGGGGAGAGACAAGGGAAAGAGAGAACTAAATTAGAGGTGGACCGAAAAGAACAGGGCGGCGGCACCCTTACCATGCTCGCAACGGCGCTTGAGAACAACACAGATTAACCGTCATGAGCCCAGGAAGGGGTGCGCTACAGTGGGAGGGGATCCTGCGAGGGATTGTTAGTGCGCCAGTGGATTTTTACGAATAAATGAAAAACAAAAAATATAAAATACGCTAGCAATGTTCACTTATCTTTGTATATAATTTCATTGAATTTATTGCGCGAAAAGTGGGATTTAGTTTCTCTGGTTAGTGGTACTTCGCGACTATATTAAAACCAAAGAAAAAGCAACCAATGCCCAGCGAAGCGCCCGGCGTGTGATCTCCAGATGGAGAATGGCTACACGCTACAACGGAACGCAGGGAGAACATGGGAAAAACTATTGTTAAAGCATTCTACTCAGTGTACGGATTGAATTTAAAATAACTACAATTCTGAATCTAAAATAAAGAGGAAGATTTTGAGTGTTTATTATACCAAGAAATCAATTAAATGTGTACCGATGTGCAAATGCTAAAAGAAAAAGATAAAATAGATGGTGACACTAACATACTATTTTAAAAAATAATTTCACTAGATTTATTTCGCGAAAAGTGGGATTTAGTTTCTCCGGTAAGTAATACTTTACGACTATATTAAAACCAAAGAAAAAGCAACCAATGCCCAACGAAGAGCCCGGCGTCCGATCTCCATATGGAGAATGGCTGCACGCTACAACGGAACGCAGGGAGCGCATGGAAAAAAGTGTCTTTTTGTCTAACAAGCGGTGCTTCTTTGAGTTTCAGATGAACCTATTGTTTATTATAATAATATTTATGAAGATATCAATATGTAAGTACACCCATTGATTTGTGGATTAACAGGCTGAGGGAGGGGGTTGGGGTCCAATGTATCGTTTCACTAAGTTATCACTGTGGTTAACGACTTATTTACCAGACAATTAAAAGCAAAAAAAAGTGTGATGACACAACATTACTACAACATCACAAAGAAATCAGTGAAAGAAGGAGAGTGAGCAGGGGCTGCCTGGACGATGAAAGCAAGTTATATCAGTAAACCTGAAGGGTCCGCACAGCCCTCAGCTTTTATTTACCTTTTAGTGTTGTTAGTAACTAAAGGGTACAAAGATAAACCAAAGCAATCGAACGTATTTGATCACAATTTAATTAGCTTACACTTATTTTTATTAAATATGTGATTCACCGTAGTAGGAGTTCCTTCCTCGAGGTGTATTAAAGAAAGAAACAAGGACAAAGTCTAAAATGAAATAAGCAATGTGAACGATTGTTTCGGCTCATATGTTTCTTCCAGTTGCTTCGCCACTATCCACGCTGCGAGAGCTTCAGTGGACCTCGTTGCTGTCCTTGGCAGGCTTCATGTGAGGCTCTTCTTGTGTCGTTTTCGATATCACGTTGCCATCGATGTCGATCTCGTCAGAGATACGGACGTTTGGCAATAAAAGGGTCCCCGGGATGATCAGGAGCGGTAAGAGGATGTGACCGACAATGACGAGCCACGGGCCATTTTTGAAGTCGCATGGCGGATTACTTTTAATGGGCCACACATACTCCATCAGGATGGCACCTATCGAGGTGCTGGTGGCCGCACCGAGGTTGGAAAAGCCGGCTAGGAGAGCATACACCGTACTCTCGGAGCCGCGCGGGCACAGACGCGACAGCAGTACTCCCGGTGGCATCCATGAAAGCATGAGGCACACATTTCCAATGATAGCGTCACCGCAAACGTACATGGCGTGATCGGGAATGCCGATCCTTATGTTCCAACGTTTAAGTATGATGATGTCGAAGATGGAGGCAAACATCCATAGTAGTGTTGTTGCAATTATGCATAGACGGTATTTCCACTTCGAGAAGATATAATTGAAGGCCGTAATAACGACTAAACCAGTCAGGTTCCCGATGATACCCACGGCAATAGTATTGTAGAAAGTATTTGAGAAGTGCGGCCCGTCAAGAAGGCAATCTTCTTTAGCGAGGTAGAAGCTGTCCAGGAGACCTGGTAACTGTATGTAAAGCACAATATTAAGGTACATCTGGACGTTAGCCTTAGCAATAATCAGCGGCAGTGCCCAGAAGGACATCGCAGAGCACACCAGCGACACCACTACGCAGATAATAAGTAACCCTAGCTTACCTACGAAAAGGTTGCCGAAAGCCATGATTATGGCCGCGACTGTCATGACAATGCTGAGTACAACAACCCTCTTGTTCCGCATGACGACCTCCTTGTTGATCTCGATAAGTCCACAACAACCGCTGATCGGCTGCGGCAGCAGAAGCTCTGGGCTCACCTCCAACAACTGTAGAGCCTTTCCCTGATCCACACCGAGACTGCCTTCCTTCCCCTCCTTGCAGCATAGGGCTTTCCTCTTCTCGAGCTCCAGGAGTAGCTTCTTGTGCATATTACCTGCATCTTTAATGCGCTCCTCGCGGTTCGTCTTCTCGCTGTACAGGTTGAAGAGGTAGATCAAAGATGCAAGGAACTGCAGCCCAGCGGCGATGAACACCCCGACTTGCGGCATATTAAGATCGGATAACGGGCCCTGGAGGATAGAAGCCAGCAAACACCCTATGGTAATGATCCACCAAACCCAGCTCACCAGTGCTGGCCCAGCCTTGGGGATCCTACGCATAAGACGGCTGTAATAGCCTTCGGAAAGAATGTCCACAGTGGCAATACCATAGTTACTCAAAGAGGCAAAAACAGTAGCAAAATCAGCGGACGACGGCTTGGCTGGCAGCAGGCCGTAGAGCAGCGCGAACACACTGCCCATTACGCACGATGCAAACATGTACCAGCGCTTGGTGTAGCCGAGGAAGGCGAATGTATCGCATAGCATAGCAGTGAAGGCCTTCATGGCCCAAGCAAGTTTCATAACGGCGAAGAGCCGCTGGTAGCGGCCTGCATCTATACCAAAACGTGTTTGAAACATAGGGTAGAAAGAGAAATTAAAAATATTATAAGCGATGCCCTTACAAAGTAGGTAGGAGAGGGCGAGGCTGATAATACACCCGGGGCCGTATGCCTCACAGGCCTCGCCGAAGATAGGAATGCAACGCAGTACCGGTACGCGATCGAAGAGGCGCTTCGCACCGGGGTGGAGAGAAACGCTGGCGTCGTCCTTGGCAGAGCTTGAGGCGAAGGCGGGCTGCCGATTCACTTCCTCGGTGTCGTACGGGTGAGGGGTCCCCGCGTTCCTCGCGATTGAGTCCATCGTGAAGTGATGGATTGTTTCTGGGGCTCACCTCAAAAGCAAAAGACCGCTTGACCTGATGACAACAGTCGCTTGTTGGCTTCCTTTCAGATGGCTTTGTGGCTTCTCACGTAAGTCAACCTATTCGGTGTAGCGGTATGTCAGCTGTTAGGACTAGCTTGAGACAGTGTGGGGAGAGACAAGGGAAAGAGAGAACTAAATTAGAGGTGGACCGAGAAGAACAGGGCGGCGGTACCCTTACCATGCTCGCAACGGCGCTTGAGAACAACACAGATTAACCGTCATGAGCCCAGGAAGGGGTGCGCTACAGTGGGAGGGGATCCTGCGAGGGATTGTTAGTGCGCCAGTGGATTTTTACGAAGGAATGGGGGAAAAAAAAAAGATAAAATAGAATGGCAACACTCATATATCATTTTTAAAAATAATTTCACTAGATTTATTGCGCGAAAAGTGGGATTTAGTTTCTCTGGTTAGTGGTACTTCGCGACTATATTAAAACCAAAGAAAAAGCAACCAATGCCCAGCGAAGCGCCCGGCGTGTGATCTCCAGATGGAGAATGGCTACACGCTACAACGGAACGCAGGGAGAACATGGGAAAAACTATTATTAAAGCATTCTACTCAGTGTACGGATTAAACTAAAATAACTACAACACTGAATCTAAAATAAAGAGAAAAACTAAAAATGTTTATTTATACTAAGAAATCAATTAAATGTGTACCGATATACAAATTCAAAAAACAAAAGATAAAATAGAATGGCAACACTCATATATCATTTTTAAAAATAATTTCACTAGATTTATTGCGCGAAAAGTGGGATTTAGTTTCTCTGGTTAGTGGTACTTCGCGACTATATTAAAACCAAAGAAAAAAAAACCCTTAGGCCCAACGAAGAGCCCGGCGTGTGATCTCCAGATGGAGAATGG